CCACCTGCGGGGAGGAGCGGACGGGACGGGACACCCAAAACTCCGGTGCCAGTTGAAACATGTCTGCTTTTTTTTTTCATAGGAGAAAAAGGGTGGTAATATCCTAGTGAAAAAGCTATATATGCATTTTGAACTTGGAGAATGAGGGGAATGTGAGCAATTACGTAGCACTGATGAATAAAGATCATAATTAACAGGGAGAGAAACACTATTTTCCACAGAATAGGGTCTCTGCCGGTTGCGGTTGGGTGAAGGGCCCTTCCTCAGAGCCTCCCAGCAGCGATGGACAGTACTTTGCCCCAAAGCGATGCAGCCAGACTGCGTGTGCAGAGCGCAGCTGTGACAGCGGTGGTGAGGGAGGAACTCTCCATCTGCAGCCAGTTGGTGGTTTGTAGCTCAGCAGTAATGCTTTCGGCCAGGGAAGCCGACAGTGAGTTAGTGCCCACCGTGGGGCATTGGCATTTCAGGTTCGGCCTCCTGACACCTTATGCCAGCAGCAGACTGCTCTGCACGGCCCTTTTCGGTGTTGTCCTGAGTTATGTGAGGGAGAACCAGGGTTAGTGAGCTGGACTTAATGTTGACCTGTCATCTTCTGTGATGGACGGCTTCTTGAACAAGTTCTGCAGTTGTTTTGGGAATAAAGCAATAAAGATCGCATCGCTCCCATGCGTGCCCTTGTCATACCCGTTTCCTGGCAGCAGATTATCCCCCTGTTAGTCTTGCCGCTTTAGCGATCGTATTTCTGATTGTGACAGAGCTTGTGCAATAGCGTGAGGAAGTGCAGCAGGAGTTACATCCGAGCATTGCTAGCTGTAGCTTGTCCCTGAGTTCTGATCTGTTCCCCTGTTCCTCTGACTCAAAAAATAAGGAAGTTGGCAGATGGTCATCCAAATTCTTGCGTGTCACTTGATCACTCGTGCAACTTCCAGGTATGAGTCCCACCTGTCCAGTTCATATTTCTGTTTGTGGGGGGAGTGTTGAGGTTTTCCAGAGTAACCTCCAGTGTTTACCTTGCATACTACTCTGGTACAAAAAACACAATAGACATAAGTTCTCTCGTGTAAATTTCACAGCTTCTTTCATATAGGGTATCGCTTTTATTATTAGTTTGAATTCAGTACTTTTTCTAGTGTAGGCAAAACTTTTGGGGAGCAAAGGTGTGTATGACTGTCAAGGGCTGCTCCTTAAAAAAAAAAAAAAAGAAAAAAGAAAAAAAAGTTGCTACAATGATCTGGCTTTTTTTAACCTCATCTTGTCTTTTTCCAGATAAAGGTATAAAAACATTCTGAAGGACCAAAGTCTTTCTACATGTTTGTTGGTACTTTTTTGTTTGGTTTGGTTTTCCATATGAGAGTGGTAGCAGTAACACAAAATTTAGTGAGATGCCATTTTGCCATGTTCGTGGTTTGTGAAAACTTAAATAATACATTTCCTACTGGACAATGCAAGCCTGAACTATGAATAAACTGACTTAACAGTTAAGTAGTCAGCTATGTTGTAGCCTCCCCCTCTTCTGTGCCTCGCGGTGGTCTTTCCTCATTTTGACTTTATAGAGGTTTTCAGTATCCTCTGGACGTACTTCTTCATGCATCTTGGGGTCTGACTTTGTAACCATCTCTGCATAGCATCCTTATTTTTAAGAGCAGTTATCTACCACTGCTTTATTTTGAAGCCACTTGTTGCCTCCCCAGCCGTGTAACTTAATCTTTAATGTCCTTGTCTTCTAGAGTTTCTGGTAAAATCTCTGTGAGATTTTTGCACTATTATGATTCATTCAATTTTTTAAATGTTATGAAATGTGACTGGTCTGATCAGGCTTTTTTTTTTCCCCACATAGGCAAATCAAGAATAAGCCTTTTCTTAATGTTTAGACTAACTTGTTTTCACATGGCATTGATTTGGGCCTTTCTAGAAATTTATGCAATTAAATAGTTTTCACTTTTTTTCCAAACATTTCAGAGATTCATAACTGTTGAAGGATGAAAGAGAATAAAACAGCCTTTTAAAATTAAATTCAGACGTGGTTTTGCACAGTATTAAGGCATTCTGAAAATAGCTGTAACTAATATTTGTGGGCACTAAACTTAAAAAAGCAAAGAAAGCACTTACAATAAAAAAAATAAATTTGTGGTTAAGTATTAGGAAGAAAAATAAATTCAGACAGTCTGCTGAGTCCTGTCCCATTTGCAGTATAGTAACAATAATCACTAAGTGTCTGTGACAGCAGCTTGTTAAAAGAAAGCAGACATGAGTCTGGGACGTTATCAAAATACTGTGATAGGTATGGCTTAATAGGTAGGTTGTTCTTAAAGTCTTGCTAAATCTGCATGTAGGCATACATTGGATCGACAGAGTATTTACTAGTGGGCAAGAGAATCAGGTTTGATGAGCGTGTGTATAAATGAAAAATATATGTTGCTAAGTCTCTGTGAACATAAATTTTAATTATGCCTAATTATTTTTTAAATAATCAGTTGCGCAATACTTAAAAGTGGGTGCGGCAGTTCACCCGCGCACAGTGCTGTTGAAGCCTGGGATTCCTGGTGTAGCTGTCAGTTCATGCGAGCGCTGCTTATCATGGGAACAAAACTTAAGGCAGCCAAGGATGGTTTTATCACTGTGCTTGTATTACAAGTGATTAATGTGATAGTGTGTCTAAAGAGGGGTTCTACATTTAAAGCCGTGCTGCAGTCAGACTAGTAGCTTTAGGAGACTTGATCTGTAAAGATCTTACATCTCGTGTTCTTTTTCTTTAGCAAATGCTTCGAACCATTGCAGGGCACGGATGGAGGTCGCGTTCTACTAAACCTGCTCAAAACTTACACATAGGCAAACCTGGCGCTGGCTTTAGCTTTGGTAAGTATTACTGGTTTTGAAAGAAATATAGCAATTAAGGGCAAATTGCAGAGTTAAAAAAAAAAAGAAGTCCCATATTGCAGTTCACCATGAATTTGAAATGAAGGTGCTTATTCGAAATAGTTTTCTATTCTTTAAAAAAAAAATCTTTTTTAAACAAAAAAAGATTTTCTTCTTTTTTTAGCTCATCTGTCTGAAGCTTTTTTTGTTGCCAAAGCATCTTAGCTTTGAATAACTACCTCACAATGCAGTTTACAACATTAAAGTACCTAAATGTAGTCATAGTTGAACTTGGTTATGAAGAAATGTTATAAAGAAATTCATCCCCATCTTGGCACATTATATACGTAAAGCAAGTTTAAGGGGTCAGCAGCTAGATGTTGAAACTGAATAGCCAAGATCTTCGGGCGACTTCTGCCTCGTTCTCCTCTTCCATTTAATTAGCACAGCATTCTCCTTGTTTCTTCTCGTAATACATTTTATGTTACACGGTCCTCTCTACTCCGTTTTCAGTATTTTTAGATAATTTTGTAAGAAGTAAGAAAGAGCATTGTAGGTGTTGATGAAGGAACAGTGGAGCATTTTCCCAGGAGCAAGAGGAAGCTGAGCTTTTTGGTTTTTTTCTTCCTGGGGAGGCCCAAGAAGTGGTGGTTTGGGTTGTGCTGGAAGGACACTCTTGTTTTCTCATAGTCTGACAACTGGCAAAATTAAAGATAGAGAATTTGTGACCTGTTTTTGTTTGTTTGTTTTAAATAGAACTTACTGATGAACAGAAAGAGTTTCAAGCTACTGCTTGTAAATTTGCTGTGGAGGAAATTATTCCCGTTGCTGCACAATACGACAAAACTGGAGAGGTAGATCTACCATAGTGTAAGGGAAAAAAATAGAGTTTTATCTTAACCTGCATACAATTTAAAATGTTGATTGTTATGAATTGGAAAGTGATTTTTCCCTGTCTATTTCAGTATCCTCTCCCACTTACAAAGCGGGCTTGGGAACTTGGTCTTATGAATTCACACATACCAGAAAGCTGTGGTAAGTAAACATTCTTTTTAATCTGTAAAATGAAACAAAGAAAAGGCATTAGATGAGATTTATATGTGTAATTATGGATTCTGTATAAAATAAACAGTTGCATACTTGAATACATTTAATCAGTAGGCAGGTTGACACATACAAGTGTTACTAGGTGTGGATGTAATCAGGAGACAAATTAGACAGGTTATGATTTAGTAATTTATTACCAGATTTTCCTACCGTGATTACAAGTGCTTGATGTTTCCCTGGTGCACTGTGTCAGCTGATTAAGCAGAGAAATTAGAAGGTCATATTTTGTTCTAGTCTCTGACACAGGCTGGAGCAATTTAAGAGCTTATTCCGGAAGGACAGTTTTTCCGTTTAGATTAGGTGCAGTACAGCAGTGCTTTGGCAGTGTTTAGGTATATGAATAACCATGGGAAACACGTTAAATTATTTTCTTTTTTGCATTTATATTACCTGAAAAAGAAGTTAGGGACATGTCCATAGCAGACCCTTTTTTTTGGAAGATTAATCAGAGGGTTTATCTTGTATCAAAATTTTAACAAATGAGGTTAAGAAACAAAGAGGCAAAAGGAGCAATTGTGAGGACTAGATTTATTCAGCCACAAATTCTAGAGAAATTAAAGCCTGAAATAGCTGGACTACTGCAGTGTACAATCACTTGGTTATTAAATGAAAAATTGCAAGTGGCAAATTGGACACCATTGCTTTAAAAGACTTCCAAGGGAGAGCTGGGAAAATACATACCGGTAAGCCTGATATACCATGTGAATTAAGAGGAAGTAAGATAAAGTGCAGAAATAGTGGACAGGTAAACCTGATACGCTAGAAAAGGGATTTTGCCTCATTAAATCACTGGAGTTCTCTGAAGTAGCTAGTCAGTGTGTGACCAAAGGATGCCTGGCTGCTAGAGAATGCTTGAACTTCCAAAATGAGTTTTAACAATCATCAGTTTTCACAGTGGAAGAATTAGCAGCACAGCCTTGCTGAGTCTTGTGCTGTTTGGAATATCTATAAATAAACTGGAAAACGGGGTCAATACTGAGGTGATAGGGTTTACTGACAACACTAAGTCGCTCAGTGTAGAAAAGATGAGTCTGGCGCACAGAGCTGCCGGAGAAGGTCGTGGGACTGAGTGACTGTTAAAATGGCAAATGCAATTCCAAAAAGGAAAAGTGGTGCACATGTGAAGGGAAAGAAGGAATCCGAACTTCACAGAGAAATGGTATCTTCTGAACTAGTTACTGCCTCTCAAAAAAGAGATTTTTGGGTTTATAATATATAGTTCTGCAAACGTCAGCATAATGCTCAGAAGTGGTCATACCCATGAAATTTAAGGTCAGAAGGGACCTTTAAGGGAATGAAGTAAAAAGCAGAAGGCATAATTATGCTGCTGCCTGAATGCGAATTGCACTTGCCTCTTTAATACATGATGTAGTCAGATCCTTATATCTCAAAAGAGTAGCGTGGAAAAGGGGAACGTTCCTAAAAGGATGACAAAGATTACAAAAGATATATCTTCTGTGCGAGATGTAGCATCTATATGAGAACTGACAGAAATATCATTTTTATGATATCATTGGGCCAAGGCCAATGGTGTGAGGTTCAACAAGGCCAAGAGCCGGGTCCTGCCCTTGGGTCCCACCAACCCCATGGGCGCTACAGGATGGGGCAGAGTGGCTGGAGAGCTGCCCGGCGGAGAAGGCCCTGGGGGAGTTGGTCAGCAGCAGCTGAACAGGAGCCAGCAGTGTGCCCAGGTGGCCAAGAAGGCCACCAGCATCCTGGCCTGTGTCAGGAAAAGTGTGGCCAGCAGGACTGGGGCAGCGACCATCCCCCTGTCCTCGGCACTGGTGGGGCCCCACCTCGAGTGCTGTGTTCAGTTTTGGGTCCCTCACGACAAGACAGACATTGAGGGGCCGGAGTGTGTCCAGAGAAGGGCAACGGAGCTGTGAGGGGTCTGGAGCACACGTCTGGTGAGGAGCGGCTGAG